GCAATTGAGGAGGATAAATTAAAGGAATGTTCACAGCTGGTAAATAAGAAATTAAATTAGGTATACTAATAAAACGAGTGAACCAAGAAGAAGTTTTCCCAGTTTTAGGGACAAGGTTTATTCTTTTTAGATCCATCCAAGTAAAAACAAACTGATGAAACGGATCAATAAGTTGTAAAAGACACCAAAGTGGAGAAAACAGCCAAGTAGATTTTTTAGAATTCACAAGTTCAGACGATAAAGTGACCAAAGGAACGGAAGAGGTTGGTATTAAATCCAAACAGAAAGCAGGAGGAAGTTTGATATTCAGACCACTTTTAAAAAGAAGTCGTAAAGATTGGAAGATCCAATTATGAGAAAGAGACTTTCAGCTAGAATTCCATTGAAATATTATCCAGGGAGGAGGGCCATTTCAGGGCTGCTTAAAGAGTATGAAAGGTAATGGCTACCCAATTTGAATAATATGATCCAATGGTATACAAAGAAACCCAAGCTATAAGGCGAGAAGCAAGTCTCTGACAGAGATAGATATAGGGATTGGTGTTCTTAGTGAGCAGGTTCGATGAAAAAGCTAAAAAGGGAAAGGCAATGATTTGAATTAAAGTAGCTTCCAGTATATAGGTAACTTGTGATCTAAAATAGATCTTTGAAAAAATGACAGCAGAATGAAGGTAGGCAAGCTAGGAGGAAGTCAGTATCTTAAAACGGACTGTTTGAACGAAAGTGCGGTATATATCTTTAATTTGAGAAACTACAAAAGAAGGGGAACCTTGAAGATTGAACTAAACTCTAAGAAATCGGAACAAAAAGGAAAGCTTTAAAGGAATTAATTGAAGATTCACATTAGCCACCAAGGCTGGAAGTTCTGAAGAAAGCAAAAATGTAATCGGGAAAGGATTGGACAAAAAGCAAACTAGTTCATATTTTGAAAAATTTGCAGTAATATTATTGAGAAAATAAAAACCCTAGCAATGGATAAAAGGTATTAAAGTCCATCCAACGAGGCAGAGAGAAGTGTAGAATCATTCATGTAGGTAAGTTGTATAATCGGAACTATAGGGTCCATTTGTTTATTATTATTAAGGGCAAGTATATCCTTAGATATATTAGAGGATCAAAGGTAAGGAGAAATGGTAGAATCTGATAATTCTGTAAGCAATAGATCAAAATATATGGTCCATAAAAGTGGAGAAATAACTTCTCTTTGATCAATTTTTATGAGAACATTATATGGCGAGGTTAAGCCATATGGCGTAAAAATGCGATTTTTCCTATTGGTAAATAAACTAATGATAAAATTAGATAAATTTTCAGAAAACCGTAAATGGTTAAAAGCTAATCGCAGCATTCGTAAATCAATAGAATCGAATGCCTTGGAAATATCTTGACTTAAAATCCATAATTCTTGCATGAAATGAGAAAGTTTATGACTTTTAATAATACCATCTAAGACATTAATTGGAGTGTTAACTGAGGAACCAGGTAATCCAGCAAAATTATTGCCTTAAAGTACATGATACGAGAATAAAATATTGGAAAGTCTATTATTCACGACTTTGACCAGTAATTTCTGAGCAGTTTTCAAAAGAATAACACTAGTTGAAAAAGGAATATTTGGTCTTAGTAAAATTCGGCCTATATTCGACTAAAATTAAAAATTTGACCTTAATTAGCAATGATTTACGATTAAACATTAGTTGAATAACCAACCATGCTGGTTGAATAGCCACATCACACGTTACACATATTAAAAGTTTAAAAAAGAATCTTATGCATTCTTTTTTAAACTTTTATTATTTCTTTTCCTCATCCTTTGGCTCTATAGGCGTGGAAAAAAACAAAAAAAAATTATTTTATTTTTTTTTTTAAAATTTTAATGTGGCTCTTTCCCTTTTCGTAGTAATTCTATGGGAATGCCAGTCAAAACCACGTACCGGACTTTGGATAATAAGGTAAATGGGAAGGGGAAGTCTTTTTTTTTACTTTAGAACCATTTTTTTTTACTTTAGAAACATTTTAACATTTCTTTTTTTTCTTTTTCTTGCAGGTATTGCCAGATGAAATTAATGAATTTCATGATAATAAAAAAACTAAGATTCGTAAGTAGAATCTTAGTAGTTTTTTTAATATTATGGAACGGTTACTAACCATTTTTGTTTTTTTTATAGGTTTCAGGAAAACGAAGGGAAAGGGTAAGATGAAGGGAAAAAGGTAAAATGAAAGGGAAAAGGTAAAATGAAGGGGAAAGAGAAAATGAAAGGAAAGGGTAAAATAAAAGGAAAAGGGAAAACGAAGGGAAAGAGAAAATGAAAGGAAAGGGTAAAACAAAAGAGAAAAATGAAAGTGAATGGGAACGGAAAAAGAAGTACTTTTTTAAGATTCGTATTATATTACGAATCTTAAATTTTTTTTTTCTTTTTTATTATTATAGAACGGTTTACTAACCGTTTCTTTCTTTTTCTTATAGGTTCGGGTGGATTTCCGACGAATAGAAAACCAAGATTCGTAAGTAAGTACAAATCTTAGTTTGATTTTTTTTCTTTTTTTTTAAAATATTATGAACGGTTACTAATAACCGTTCTTTTCTATTTTTTAAGTTTCGGGTGGGCTTTTGAAGAAGGAAAACCAAGAAATTAAGATTCATAAGTAAATACGAATCTTGGTTTAATTTTTTTTTTTAAAAAAAAATATTACGAACGGTTACTAATAACCATTTTTTTCTATTTTTTAGGTTTCAGATGGGCTTCCGATCTTTGGAAAAGTGGAACCAAGATTCATAAGTAAATACGAATCTTGGTTTAATTTTTAAAAAAAAAAAATATTACGAACAGTTACTAATAACCATTCTTTTCTATTTTTTAGGTTCTGGATAGGCTTCTGAAGTATAGAAAAATCAAGTTTCATATGCACGAAACTTGGTTTATTTTTTTTATTTTTTAATTTAATATGAATAGTTACTAACCGTTCTTTTTTTACTTTTTTTTTAGATTCAGCTGTTCGGGTGGGCTTCCGAAGTATAGAAACTTCAAAGATTCGTAAGTATGAATTCTTTGGAGTTTTTTTTTTATATTTTTAACATAAACGGTTAATACTAACTGTTCTTTTTTATTTTTTTTTAGGCTTGACTCTCAGGTGACTTCTGAAGAATGGAAAAAACCAAGTTTCATAAGTTCAAAATTTGGTTATTTTTTTTTGTTTATTTTTTTTATTTTTAATATTATGAACGGTTATTAATAACCGTTCTTTTTCTTTTTTTGGGATCAGATGTTCTAAAGCTGAAGAATGGGAAAATTCCAAGATTCGTAAAAATCTTGGATTTTTTTTTATTTTTTTTTAAAAAAATATTACGAATAGTTACTAATAACTGTTCTTTTCTATTTTTAGAATCTGGTGGATTTCCGAAGAAAGGAAAATCAAGAAACCAAGATTCGTAAGTAAATACGAATCTTGGTTTAATTTTTTTTGTTTTTTATTTAATATATGAACGGTTCTAACTGTTCTTTTCTTTTTTTTAGGATCTGGCAGGCTTCTGAAGAACAGAAAACCAAAAAACCAAGATTCGTAAGTAAGTACGAATCTTGGTTTTTTTTTTGTTTTTTTTAATATATGAATGGTTTACTAATAACCGTTCTTTTCTTTTTTTTAGTATCGGGTAGACTTCTGAAAAATGAAAACCCAAAGATTCGTAAGTATGAATCTTTGATTTTTTTTTATTTATTATTATTACGAATGGTTTACTAACCATTCTTTCTTTTTTTTATAGGATCAGGTGGGTTTCTGAAGAATGAAAACCCAAAAATAAAGATTCGTAAGTACAGATCTTTAATTTTTATTTATTTATTATTATTACAAATGGTTTACTAACCATTCTTTCTTTTTTTTATAGTTTAGGTGGGCTTCTGAAGAATGAAAACCCAAAGATTCGTAAGTACGAATCTTTATATATTTTTTTTTATTTTTTTTTATCATTTTGGAATGGTTTACTAACCGTTCCTTTCTTTTTTTATAGGTTCAGCAGGCTTCTGTGTGGAAAAACCAAGATTCGTAAGTACAAATCTTGGTTTAATTTTTTTAATTTTTTTTTAATATTAATAAATGGTTACTAATAACCGTTCTTTCTTTTTTTTAGGTTCGGTGGGCTTCTGACCTTTGGGAAAAAGGAACCAAGATTCATAAGTATGACAATTAAATAAAATATATAAATATTTTTAAGTGACTGATCGACACTTAACAGGATAAAATGACCGGCAACCTATAATTAATTTTATGGGCTTTGTTATTAATAAAAAAACTTTTTTTGGAATCTTGCGTTCTTTATTATACAAACTTTCTCAATGAGCAAAAAAAGACAGTATACAATAACCCTTTTGGCCAAGGGAATTATTTCAGAAGATTTNTTCTTCTTCACTCATACGATCAACAATCTTAGATGTTTTAGTTATTTTAATTCGTTTTACAGGTATATTTGTATAAGTAGTATTTGGAGTAATAATTAGAGTGTAAATAGTACTAGTTGTAAAACCTTGTGAATTAATTTTTTTTAAACTTTGCATTATCCGGTGCTTCTAGACATTCTTTATCAAGATGATTTTGCATTCATACAGGGACAACTCTATTCAAAACTTTAGAACAATAATTACATTGTATAGTACGATGGGAATTATTTTTATTACTTTCTATTTGGTTTTGCGTAATAATAGTCCAATATTTCCAAATAGCACCTTTTTTTTAGTCATTATTAAATTGAAAAATAAAAAAAAATTATTGAAAAAAAGATCGATAAAAATCAGAAAATTAGTCACATGATTATGATTACTTCTTTTAATTGGCTAATTTATAATTAACCAAATTAACTGTTAATTAATCAAATTTGCTTAAGTGACAGATCGACACTTAACAGGATAAAATGATCGGCAACTTATAATTAATTTTATGGGCTTCGTTATTAATAAAAAAACTTTTTTTAGAATCTTGCGTTCTTTATTATACAAACTTTCTCAATGAGCAAAAAAAGACAGTATACAATAACCCTTTTGGCCAAGGGAATTATTTCAGAAGATTTGCATTACGGTATATATGCACGAAATTGGTGGGAATTATGTAAATTTGATAAAACTAACGCTAATTTGATACCTTATCGATTATTTATGTCTGTTAATTGTTATCTTAACAATAAGAACTTTGCAATAACAGTTCTTAATAATGAACAAACACAAAATCCATGTTTCAGCTGTGTTTGTGATGATAAAGATTCTGGAGCTCAGCCATCAGCTTCTGTAGCAATTAATGAAACGTATAACCAAAATTTTGGTAATAAAACAAAATATTCAGGATTAGCTGTTATGGGGTTTGAAAATGAATCAATTATTCATGAGTTAATAGCAGATGTTCAATTTATTCCAATATTTATTCATTTAGATAAAATATTAATTGTGGTCAGTAAAATTGGTATTTCATCTTGTGAAGAATATTATGGTGCTGGTCAAGGATATCTTTCTACACTTATAACGAAATATAATGGTAAACAATCACTTTTTATACAATCTATACTAGAAGATGAATGTAGTTTGGACATTTATTATGAAGGTATTAAATTATACAATAATAAGGATACTACGCCTAATAAAATTTGGGAGACTATTGGCATTCTCAGAAAATATGATGGAGTGACTTTATTTGGAATCACTAATTCATACGTTCAACAAAAATTGGAAGAATTGAAAAAGAATAATAATATAATTACTTGTACGAGTGATAATTGGGAAAATATTGATTTACTGAATCTTATATTTGAACAAAATATAAAAAAACGTTAAATTGCTAATACATTTTCAGATTGATCAAACTTATTTACAAACTGGTACAAACAAACTAATACAATAATTCAATTTCCTGCAATTTTATTTCAAATTTATCCGGAAAATTATCAATTTCAAGAAAAAGAATTAGGTGCATGGCGAGCAATGCTTCGTGCCTCTGGTTGTATTAATATCACCTCATTTTCAAAAAAATGGCATATAATTGAATTTTGGATAAAGGCACCAGATTCTTCACCTGATAGGGAAAATCTAGCGAAACTTTTTAAATCAGGAATGCTAGTAGTGATAGAAAAGAAATCTAACCCTGATAATGAAAATAAAACACTTTGGAAAAGTTTACAAAAAGCTTTAGAAAAAAATAAAAGAGGAGATGATGGAAAAGTTAGAATTCTTTCAATAATTGCCGAAAATTTTACATAAAAAAAACTCAAAGAAAAGTTTGGGGTAAAGCCAAAATCTATATTTATTGAATTTACTATAAAATAAATCTTAAAAAAACTGTTATTATTACATACAGGTAGGAAATGATACAATTAATTCCACACGAAAACATGCAAAACTTAATGGACCAGGAGCACCAAGCCTAATAAAACCAAGAAGAATTGTTAAACAAATGTCTGAAATTAAAGAAAAACAATTTCTAATATTTTTTCAGGATCGAAGTATAGTTGAACAAAGTTCTTACAAAGTGGATAAAAATGGATTGCCAATATTATATATGAGTGATCAAAAAACTAAACTGTGGAAAAAATTTGAAGAAACTTTTCCTAATGGTATGAAAAAGACATCATTTATGGGCCGATTAGCAAACTGTAGTAATATCAAATATAGAGATGATATGGGTGAACTTTGTCTCACCTGTAATGAGTATGGCTATACTACATTTGAATCTTTAATAGCTATTGCACGCAATACATTTTCACAAAAAGATCAATTAGTAAGTAAATTCTATTTTGATAAATGAATTATTTTAGGTTGAAAAATATTATTTACCTTTTAATATATCCTCAGGATAATATATTGCGAAAAATTGATGCTTTAAAGCGCCATATGCGTTATGGTTATGAAAGAGAATTAGTGGTTGATGCTGATGGTACAACAAAACATAATCCCATTGTTTGCCATATGCCTTTGGAAAATGTTCTGAAAAACATAATTCATGGTGCTTAGAATGTGATAAGTTTTTTGAATTTTTTGAATTTATGCAATTACATGTAATGGAAGATCAAGCCACTTCTTTAGAATAAATAAAAAAACAATTGCAGTATTTTTTAGCCCATACAACTAAGGCTCCGATCAGTTTCAGTAATTACCGAACCGAACCGATCAGTTTCGGTATCGGAACAGTTTCGGTATTCTGATTTACTGAACCGAACCTTTCGGTAAATTTACTGATCGGTTTCGGTAACTTCGGTTTCGGTATCGGTTTTGCGATTTACCGAACCGATTTACTGAACTGATATTTTCGGTATCAGTTTCAGTAAATTTTACCGATCACTTTGGTAAATTTTACTGATCACTTTGGTAAATTTTACTGATCATTTCGGTAAATTTACCGAACTGATTTGCCGAACGTTTTGTGACGTTGATAAAAAACGTCGCAAAACGTTTTTTTTGACAATTTAATAAAAATGTTGCGAAACATTTTTATTAGTTAATTTATTTAAAAAAAAATGTTTCGCAACGTTTTTTTTGATAATTTAATAAAAACGTTGCGAAACATTTTTATTAATTAATTTATTTTAAAAAAAAAATGTTTCGCAACGTTTTTTTT